CAGCTTATGGATACTAGTGGATCGAAGATTTGTGGAATAAGGTTTATTTTTAGATTAACTAGATCGTGGGTTTGTGCTGTTTATCTCTAGTCTTGTAATCAAACAAGTTGTTAATCATCCCCTTAATATATATGTATGTTCAGATGTCAAAAAAAAAAAGAATGAATCTACTTATCGTCGACAGTCTCTGAATGCGTAAAATCCAAGAATGTTTTTTATTCCTTCCTCGCCGGAAGTCAAAGTTATATTATTTTCTTCGCTCCGATTTTCCTTCACTTTCCCGAGAAAGCAAAACAGTTTTCCTTCATTTTCCTGAGAATTTTTTTTACTTAGATCGGTTTTTTGGGATTTTTGTGTGATTTTACTTTACTTTTGTACCCAGAAAGTAAAGCAGTTTTCTTCGTGGAAGAGGAACGAAGAAGACCCATGAATTTGATTTCGAAATTTCGCAAGCAGTAATCGAAGATCTAACTAGGATGGATTTCCTAGAGTTAGAAGCGATCAAGGTTTGAGATGGTCATGGAACTCATGGCCGACTACAAAATCTGATTGTCAATCTCTCGTTGTTCCTCTAAGTATCATGTATACTCCATTGATGCAATTCACCGAGCTTCCCACTATTCCTTATGATCCACTGATTTGTTCTCGATGTGGAGCAGTGTTGAACCCTTACGCTCGTGTTGATTACCAATCTCGAATCTGGTCTTGTTCCTTTTTTTTCACAAAAACCCTTTTCCTCGTTCTTACGCCGGAATCACAGAAACTAATCTCCTGGCGGAGCTTTTTCCGACTTACAACGCCGTCGAATACTCTCCGCCGCGTAAATCAGTCTCCACATCAACCCCTACGAGTTGGACTAATGGGATCAGTCAAGGGTTTCCTTCGCCGAGATCAATATCTTCTGCTTCATCTTTCTCGTCTCTCGCTTCTACAGTTGGAAATGNAGGGGGAAGCTACAGTGAGTTAGGACCAGCGTTTGTGTTCGTGGTTGATGCATCTATGGTGGAGGAGGAGCTAAGGGCTTTGAGAAGTGAGCTTCTGCTAGTGATTGAACAATTACCTGAGAATTCATTCATGTATAGACATATGCATGTACTACATTGAAACAATAAATTTCATTCAAAATTTGATTGATTTGTTTCGTTTATGCTAATCTCAGATTATCCATTCACAATACAAATCAACTATTGAAATCATAAAACTCAAACAAACAAGTTCACTCATAAAGATCTAACTAACAATCTATCTCAGAACCGAATCGAGAAAATAGTTTATAAGCGATCTATGAACAAAAAAAGCATGAATCAAAATTTCTTAATCACGGATCAGATAATCAAAGCGATCTATGAACAACGAGCATGAATCAAAGAGATATACCTGTAAAGAAAAATCAACCTTAAAGGAGATGAATAACAAACAAAACGAGGACGATCGATCGAAATTGTATCAACGAAGATCAAAAGGAGAGCTAAGAACTCAGATCGGAGAAGGTGCGTTACCTCAAACCGAAGATAGTGTAGCGGCTAGGTTGAAGAGAGAATGAGGTTGGGATACGAGCCTTATTTAATAAACCTTAAAGGAGATGAATAACAAACAAAACGAGGACGGATCAGATATTCAAAGCGATCTATGAACAACGAGCATGAATGAAAGAGATATGCCTGTAAAGAAAAATCAACCTTAAAGAGATGAATAACAAACAAAACGAGGACGATCGATCGAAATTCTATCAGCGAAGATCAAAAGAAGAGTAAGAAATCAGATCGGAGATGATGCGTTACCTCAAAGCGAAGATAAGTGTAGCGGCTAGGTTGAAGAAAGAATGAGATTGGGATACGAGCCTTATTTACAATGAAAATAACATTAGTGCGAGCCAACGGAAAAGAAAAAAGATATTATTTCACGTAAAAAAATTGAATTTAAATTCAAATTGAATATTATTAATAATTTTTAACTAAATAATATTTTTTAATCTATTTGATTTGTAAAATATATTTAAATACGTATAATGTTGGGAATCACCTACTTTTTTTTAAAGAATTTTTGTTTCGTGAGTGAGAGTGAAACTAAAGAGGTAAACAAAACACAAATCTTAGATTTTAACTTAGAAACTCTTGAAACAAAATTACACGAAGATGGTTATATTTATTGGCGTAGTAAAAATTTTTGTTATGGTATTACAACTAACGTCCATGGAATGTCATGCGGTGCTATTTGGAAAACGCTATTTATTTATTTTTTTAATATTAAGAGGTTTTGAACCTAAAACCGTACATCTCCTCAATCCGGAGAATCACAACATTCTTTATGTCTCTTTACCATCTTTTAGTGAGTCTTATTTATGTAATTTTCATGTTGTGGCATCCACGAACTTGATTCGAGTTGTAAATGAACAACTTGGCGACGAAGAAGAAGTTGAAAGTTGGTTAGCAGTGGGAAAGTCGGCTTTTTCATACCCAAAGTATGGGCATATGTTCGATACATACTTGTACTTTGATACTGTGCTAAAACATACCCGAAGTAACTAATAATTTGAATTTCCTACCTAGACTTCTAATTTTGTGCATAATTATACCTTAGCAGTAACAGAGTTAACTATCCGTTAACTCGTGATTATGTGGCGTTAAACATTGATTACGTGGTAGACACATGTGCGTTTTATGCAAACGGATTCATTAGAAACGGCATCGTTTTGTTTTGTCTATCTTCTTTAACTTCTCGAGTTCTCGACACAGAGGAAAACAAAATTAAGGCTTTTGAAAATTAGGGACAAGAGAACCCAATGTCTTCTTCAGCTAATTCAGATTGGTAACTGAATTATCAATCAATTTCTGTGGAATTTTTCTCCGTAAACAACTAATTGTATGCTTATCTCTTACTTTTGCGAATTTACAACTAATGGAAGCTAAGGCACAAGGATGTCAAAAAGAGCTTGAAGAGCTCAAAATTGTTGTCACTTGCTGTGAAAAAGAGATACAAGAACTTCGATCTTTCAAAAATATGACAGTTTGCGGGTTGTTCATGGTATTGGTTTACTTCTTTGACTTTACTACAAACGACGCCGTTGCACATGTGGCTTCCACGTAATCACGAGTTAACGGATAGTTAATACTGTTACGGCTCAAGTATAATTATGCACAAAATTAAAAATTCGGGTAGGGAATTCAAATTATTATTTACTTCGGCTATGTTTTAGAACATATGCCCATACTTTGGGTATGAAAAAGCCGACTTTCCGTTAGTAGTGGGAAAAGCTATTTACCATTTGATATTGCATTTTTTATGTTATAGATATAAAGTGAAAATATTTTTTTTTTGTCTTTTTGGCTTTTTATTCACTAAATAATCAGATGACAAAATGCACAATTCAATTTTTTTTACAAGAAAAATTCTACCATAAAGAGCAAAACCTAGACAAAATCTGGATTTACCCAAAAGTGAGCTTGAAGGTGTTCAAGCAACATAATTATAATCCACATTTCTTGTAAGATTTGTAAAGTGATGTTAGAGGCTTACTTAAAGTGAAGAACTAGGCACTATAATTCAAAAGCAATCCCACATAAGCAATTATTAACACGAATTGTTAGATGTCAAATGTTTGCTCACAACCACCTTGGATATAATAAGTTGCTTCAAAAGAAAGAGAAAGACTTAAAAACATTCATCATCGAATCCTATAGATTTTGAAGCTTGCATTTATCTATGTGACCAAAGATGTCACTTCATCATATATTTGAAATCTTTAATATAAGTTGTTGAAATGCAGTCGGTGGGATAACGGTCTTAAAACTACAACACTAACGGTAGAAGCAGTCCCAGCAGGAACGTGGCTCCACTAGGAACTATGGCTCTAGAGTGAACGATGACTCCGGCGGGAACAAAGGCTCCAACGAGAACGGTAGCACCGAGGGAAACGGTGGCTCCAAAGTGAATTGTTGCTACGGCTGGAAAGAATAGCGCCAAAAGAAAACAGTAGTGCCAATAAAAATGATTGCTCCGGCGGGAGGAGAAGAGCCGGCGGAAG